TGTGATAACACTAACCACCTGGATCACTCTTCTGTGGGAGGATGGCTGTGCTTCTGCTGAGTGAGAAGGGAGACATCTGAAGAATTTACTGGAATGTTGCATTCCACGCTGCATGTACCAGCATGCGCACACTGACTCAGGCCCAGCCTTACACCCTACCTTATGTTACCTTCACTAACTTCCCGTTTGCAGTTGGCTGTCTTTAAGGTGCTCCCTGAAGGTCCCTTCTGTTCCTGGGCCTAGTTAGCTTTATTCACAGAAGTGCATCACAACTCTTTTTAGATGCTGGGTTGAAGCTAATACGGATCAGCTGGTCGGGCTGCAAGTGTAAGTCAGTCAAATAGCGCTGTACCATTCTGTACATAGATTTCAAGGCCAGCATGTCACTCTTTTACAGTATCTGCATGGTCCTGGTGGATTCCACACCACAGACATGGCACAAATGCTTAGTGCTATCTTAGCCCAGGAAAATGCCACCTTTTTTCTGCAGTTAAGACCTTGCCATCATCATCCACCTGAGTGTTAACTCCCGATTAGGCCACCTCACTTACTCTACCAGAGAATGAATCTGAACACCAGCTGGAAGCTGAAGCTCGTGTGTAGCACATTTACTACTCAGCCAAAGAGGCAATGGTTCATGCCTCGACTATAGGAGCCTAGTCTTGATTTACTGGGCACTTAATAGCTTGGGTAGAAGCTACCTTGAAGACTCCCTATCCAATTCATGAATCTCCCAGGCAGCTACATGCCCCAAAGAGAGTCAAAAAGACTGCTTCAGGCTAAGACGCAATGGGCCAAAGCAGGCTCTGTGCCAGTCCCCAACCGTTAAAGCGATCAATAGAGCCTAACCCCCAATTTTTTCAGCTTTACTACTAAGGGTTTATCTGGGGAAAAGGCTGGCATAGCTCGAATGCCCTAGCTACTCCATACTAAAGCGCTGTGTGGACATGCTTACTCTGCATTAAGGGTGCCTTTGGCGCCTACACCTGCAAAGTGTATTTAGCTAAAGCACACAAAGACACTCAGTGTAGAGTAAGACTGGCCACATGGTGATTTAGTATGGAGCAGGTAATGTGCTTTACATACACACCCTAACTTAAGCCACACTAACTTTCCTGAGTGATGGCATTGACTTGAAAATTTGGAGAGAGGACTTAAAAGGCAAGAAGATGAGGAAGGAAAAATGTCCAGAAATGCACACAGGCTCCAAGGGAGAGTGAGAGCCTGTTGCTGGTCAGAACACACACTGATCGCTTCTAAGAGCTTAAATAGCACGCAGACAGGCATCTCAGAAAACCACCTTCTCCTGCCATGCTGATGGAATGACTTTCATGCCAACGTCACCAAGGCACTAATGTCTCCATTAACAGCTACCAGAAATGGAACCGCCATCTATCAACACTACAGCTCTGGGTCCATGCAAAAGTTTTAGACGTATTTAAAATGCAGCTCTTTCAATAATTAATGGGTCAATACACCAACACTGTAATTGCTACTAGAGAGGCATGGTGGGGGTGTGAATAATTAAGTGCCTTGTTTTGTGGCTGCCTCTTCCCCATGCTAAGAATCTTATTCCTGGAGGAATTCTCCACCACTGCGCAATGTAGAATTTTGTAGAATTCCCGTTTGCCCCGCAGAATTTCTGACCACCACGAGGGACTGCTGGACTCTGCAGAACCCAGTCCTCATTCTTCCGGGGACAGGAGAGAGCCTGGGAGACCCAGACAACTCTGGCAAAGCAGGAGGAAGGGCAGGGCCACACCACACCATGTCCCCTGGCAGGACAGTAAAGACACTAGTGCCTGCCCCATGGTTGGGCTCTGGAAAAGGGAGGGCTGGTGTCTGAGCCAGGGGTTGCCCCGCAGCAGGGCTCTGTGTTTGAGGGGTGGGGGGCAAGGCTGGGGGCTGCCCCATGGCTTGGCTCTGGGGGAATCGGAGATGTGGGTTTTCTGGGCTCTGGGGGGGGCCCCCTGAACTGGATTATTGTAGGGGTTTTTCTTTAACTCTCTATTCCTGGGGGACTTTTTTTTGCTGCTGTTTGCATTGTTGACATACTTGTTGACAGGTACTTTGAAACAAATTACCAAAATAATTGAAACTGGAATGATTATTTGTCAAAATAACACAACATAAAATATGCAGAATTTGAAAGTATTGTGCACAGATTTTTTTAATTTTGGGGATGCAGAATTCCAATCTGTCCAATCTGTATCACTTCTACTCGTGCTTTGGAACATTTCCAGTAGGAGGAGAGAAAAGAAACATCCTGGAACATAGTGGAGTTTGCTCAAAATAATGCAGGTATGAAAGGAGGATCTCCCCTTTTGTATTTAATATGGTCTCCTTCACAGATTAAAACCAGACAATGATGAGAGGATAAAGTGGCCTGCAATAGCCCTTACTGTTGGGTTAGATGCTCTTCCAAACACCACCACCAGAGGCTGTAGCTTAAAAAAATAACACTGAGGGCAAAGCAGTTGAACATGGGAACTTTTCCACTGTCAGCCCACTGATTCAGTTGAGCTGTTCCTGATGGTTTGTAAGCAAATGTATCAGCAGGTACATCAGTGATTAACTCAGGGCAATCTGGAAATTTAAAAAAAAATAAAATAAATCATAGGACTGAAAACAGGCCATTTCACCCCGAAGGCCACAGATAAGCAACTGGTATATTTTAAAAGGCATTTGGAAAAAATTCTTTCATTTAATATCAGATGTGGTTGTCACATTTCAGCTGTTTAGATTTTTAAATCATTCTTGGCAGACATCCTATGATAGTACCGCTTTTTCTACACACACAAATTGCACCAGTTTTACTAAAATTGGTTTTAAACTGATTTAGTCAAAATTCACACACAATGATTTACAACTGGCTTGAACTGATTTAGCTTAATTTGGTGACCAAACTTCCTGTGTGTACAACCATTGAGAGTGAATTAAGCTACATTGCTATAAGCCAGTTGGAAACCAATGTAAGTGTGTCCACAGAGGGGCTGGCACTGGTTAGACTCATTTGATTTTTTTTTTAAACCAATTTTAGTTAGCCTATGTCTACATTAGTGTGCTGCGCTGTAGCTCTCCTGTGTGGCCGCTGTAGGTGCGAACTAACAAGGTACCTAGTTCATGTTACTATAGTCCTCTTTAAACAGGCTGCAAAGAGGATCGGTACTGCTAACACAATGGCTAAGAGGAATTACTGGAGTTAATAGGTGGAACTTGATGGCTACGACTTGCTCACTTGCCATGTGAAATCAAGTACAGTATTTAACAAGGGCCATGGGGTCTATATGAAAGTACCACTCATCTGATACATGTTTCTTCCCACTGATTATTGCTCTTTGCATTATTTGAGAACTCAATGTTTCAGCAGCTGATTTTGTGACTTTCCTCTTTAAAAATTTCCCAGTTGGAATGAAGTAAATTTTCAGAAGATCTTGGCGGTTTGAAAATGTCCAACTTAAAACATGAAGAGGGGGCAAGCAGCAATTGGAAAGGGCATTCATACCACAAAACATAACTCGTATTTCTGCACACTGAATAAATCACAAGATCCACCTCTTATTTAATCAAAACTGTACCCAAGGGGAAGAAAGTAAAGTATTTGCAGATAGACAATAAAAGGGAGTCAATAAACATTAACTGAGTGGCTAATCCTTCAAACTATTTTGTACACTCTGTTCGGCCAGCCTTGGAAAAAGGAAAAGGCTAGCTTTAAAAAAAAAAAAAAAAAGATACTTCTTACAAAACAAACATACCTACTGCCCCAAACAAGTCCTGACCGTTGAAGCTCCTGGTCCCCACAGAAAGCAAGAAAGATAAAGCACCACCAGCATCAATTCTCTAGCCAAGGAAAAGGTATCAGAGGCAAAAAAGGATTCTTACTAATGAAAATGCAACATCTATATTATTTTTAACCGGAACATGGTTGGGCCAAGATTTTCCTAAAGTCCTCTTAAGGCACTGTCCGTTTGGGTGCTCAATATTTGGGGATGGGGGGGTGAGGAGAAAGGCCAGTGCCTTAAAAGGGTGCCTAACTTTTGAGAGTCTTTGCCTCAGTGCTCATGGATTAATGCAAGGAACTGCAGAATGACGGAGCGGACTGGAAGCAGAGAGGCTGGCTGCGACCCTGCAGAGTAAGGGCCAGTAAACCGGATACAGACCCCTGCTCGCTTGCTTGCAGTCTCATGTTTATTTCAACGGAACCAGGGCTGTTGTGGCAACACATGCTACGAACAGCTAAACAATAACATTCTAAACTGTAAGGGGGCCTCACCATAAATCTCGGCGATCCATCAGAATACTTTCCTGCGCTCATGTTCACACTAACGGCTGGATATATTTTAACTGCAAGACGTGTAAATTTAGAAGCAGACACGCAATAATACAGCTCCAGCCCATTTTCACATACAAGCGCAACTGTCACCTAGCAGGCTTTTATTTTAAGTTTACATTCACATTTCTCCATTCACGTGGCTGGCTTTTACACTGTAATGTCGTAAAGTTACATTGTTCTGCTCTTTCGTGTGCATTGATTTCAGCCATCAAGACATGGTAAAACTTACAACGAACACTTTTCCTTATATCTATATTCAGGCTGGGAAAAATTATGTGACTTTTCCTCACCCAGTGGCAACCAAATTCCCCTGACTTTTAGATTTTATTAAAATCATCATTAGTGTTTACTTTGTGTTTAAAAACTGATCTCTATTTATTTCTAATCATAAAACTAGTCTGTTCTGTGCATTGGACTCATGCCAGAGCATAACAGTGATCTTGTTCTGTCATTTTTATTGAAGATAGTTGAAACACATCATTAGTGGCTGTTCAGAGGTGCTCTCTAATGGTGCTATGGGGCAATATAATTTTTCTTAGCCTGGTCACCTTAACATTTCAGGGCTATAACAAAGATAAACTTGTAGTGCTTTACAGTTTACAGACTTTTGCCAAATCTTCCCCAATAATGCAAGCAATTTATAAATGACAAAATAAACCACAGCCAATTACCACATACAAACATTTATTTTGAAGTTTCCATTGTACCCATTTCTAAGAATTACATCATCAAAGCACTTTATGGCAGTGAAAATAGCTCTTACCCCTCTGACTCATCCGTTATTCCATTAAAGCTGCAAAATGTGCAATCCGCTTGAAAAATAGGTTGCTTTTTATTTACTTTTTCATGAAAAGTCAAAAATCAATAACAAAAAACAAAACCAAAAGAAGTTTCCTCCCCCAGCTTTACAGGAAATCTACATCCAATCCTCTCCCGCTTTCCCCAAAATAACTTACAAAGATAGTTTAAAGTTTTAAATGCATTTTAAGCCAAGTGCATCTTTTTTATTTTTCATAATAATAATTATATCTTAAAATTCTAAAAACCCATAATTTACTTTCTTGGAAAGAAGGCAGCGAGCCGTTGCTTTTTGATTGGAAGAATGTGTATCTCCTGGGAGTTCATTTTCTTTAACTTTACACTCCTGTTTTTGATTGGTTTCCTAAGAGCTTCTGCATTATCCCTAGGCTCTGGCTGGTTCTTCACATCGTAACACTGCAGAACAGAGTCCTGGGGCATGTCCCTTTTGAAGGAGAAGTTTTTGGTGGATACTCCCGAGAGGCCTTTAATCTTGCCACAAAAAATAGTGGGCACAGCATCTTTGACAGAGACTATTACTTTGGCAGTCTGCGAAGTGCTCACAATCTCAATATTATTCCCAGCCTTGGGTTCACAGGCTGCTCTGCTCGTCTGATCCACCAGCCACTTTTGCTGCTGTCTCAGGAGCTCGGCCGAATTGCTACCAGTCATTCTGCTGTCGACCTTGGCTGAGGCTTCGTGAGGTTTGGGAGGGGCAAAGGGGACTGTTGCACTGGAGAGTTTATCCATCATGGAATGAGCAGCACTGTCCATCATGGATCCAGAGCACATGGCACTAGCTGCTTCAGCATGGACCACCGCATTGCCCGTCTTCCTGTAGGAAGCAATCGACAAGTCTAAAGCACCATCTTCAGGGGTGAGCTGGGAACTGACCTCACTTGCCTTTAGCAAGGGCACCGTTTTCATGGAAAGGTCCAGGGCCTCATTCTCATTGCTCATCTTGATGACTGTGTGACGATTCAGCTGGGAAAATTCCCTGTGGTGGATGAAATCAAAGGGTTTAGATTCTTCTTTCTCCAGAGGGGTTTGGGTGCCTTTGCAGGAATACAGGGTGAACAATGGTGGCTTGGGGTAGTCCGGGTTGACCTTGGATTCAGCGCCATGAGGCACAGGGATGGGGATAGGGATAGGGATGGGGACTGGGACTGGCAAGGGGACAATCACCGGATATGGCACTAGGAGGGTGGCTGGAGGTACCAGTGGAGACAGAGGGGAACTGAAGGCCTGGGGCGGAACAGAGGTGTAATCTGGGGGTGGCTGACAGGGTGATGAACCTAAGGTGCCCTGTGGAGGAAACAAATCCTGAAGAACTGCAGCAAATCCTGGTGTCTGAAACACTGGGGGTAAGATGGGCTCCTGGGTCTGGTTGGATGCTTTCTGATCCAGTAACTGGGGCTGTCCAACTGGGGCAGAAGAACCCTGGAAAAGATTGCTGTGAATGGGATTTGTAGAGCAGGGAGCACCCTGAGGTAACACCAATGGAGAATTTAAATGCTGAAACACATGTTGCTCCAAGAGGACAGGTAGTGGAACTGGACCTTGAGTCGTCATAACATATGGAGTGTTGTTATTAGGCGCAATCTGAGGGGTGGTGCTCCCGGCTACTTGCAGGTGTATTGGAAGAACCACTGGGCTGTCCCCTAAACAAATTGGCTGGAGCACCGTGGCTGCTACTTTCAGAGCTACCCCACTTTGGGATTCCGCTGGTGGGGTGAGGATCGAAGGGGCTGGGACAGTCACAAGGGGTGAAAGTGCTTTCTTCATCAAGTCTGTGGAGTTGATATTCCAGGCTTCAGCAGTTATCAGCTGAGCGACCCCATTTTCTAGCTTATTGTTAGCTATTGTGGAAGGAGAGTTGGTAACATCCATGGGCAGATTTTGTGTGTCCTTGTACAGTTCCTCCATTTTACAGGACTTCTGAGACTTTGCAGAAATTCACGTTTACATTGCTGTCACCAGGATCCACATTGGGTCAGGGCTGCCAAAAGCATCTGCACGGACATAGCTTGGCCTGCAGAACAGAAACATACTTTAGGCACTGCATAAATCTCGTTCTTAAAATAATATTTGCAACTGCCTTTAAAAAGCCTATCACATAAAAGCTATAAAATGTTTCCACACTTCAGGGTAACTGCTCCATTATACTGTACACTCTATACATACATACTGTATATACATACAGTACATACATCTGTGAGTGTTATATGAAGAGTTCTGGGGAACTTATATTTAGCTATAAACATAGATCATTTAAAGGCCTAAAGAACTAACTGCAGTCAAAGAAAAAAGTTACAGTACATAGCATAAAAAAAGAACCGAGGCAGTACATTTTACATTTTTAAACAAAGCTTCATGAAATGACAGGGTATGGCACAGTCAAGAGACACTGCAGTGTTTAAACTCCGTAAAAAGCATAAAAACAAACTTTCCTAAAAATAAACTTAAGAAATGTTCCATTGTGAAGTTGTGAAGGCTCTCCGTGGATAAAGGCTCCCCACTCAGCCTAAATTAATCATCCTTTTCTTGTCTTTGAAGATCCTAAAATAAATCTGACGATCCATGCATACACTACATAGCGCGTTCAAAATCTGCAGTAAACAGCACAACAAAGAGCTATCAGTAGCTCAGCAACACACACACGCACAGGACTGTGTAGTTTGGCAGTTTCGTTTATTTAACAACAATGCTTTTCTTCCCACTTAAAAAAAATAAAATAAAAAAAGAAAGAAACCTAAACCTGGCACTCACCTCCTGCTCTAGAGCTAGACGACAGTAATATGAACCAGTAAACTTATTAATAAGCTGCAAAGAATAAAAATCAAAGCAACTTTAAATTTATTTTGACAAACTAATCCCTTATCTTAACTAAGCAAATGTTAATAAGCTTAATAAGAAGTGTGGAGATCTTTTCCCTTTAATGAGCCTAGAGAAATTTTTGCATATTTCTTAAAAAGATTTTCTCTCCCATATAGGCAGTGAGCTCACTGAATGCTCTCTCCCCCATGGAAGCTACCATATGCAAAACTTCTCTTTAAGATCTCTTGATACAGTAGTACAGAAGAAAACAAGAAGGTGATGCTCCTAAACTGTTCCATCCTGTGATAACAACTGCCATGGAAACTTGTCTATATTTAACTCTGTTACCATGGGGAAGTAGAAAAGCACCCCAAATTTACAGTTCCAGGTACGTTAACCTGCATTTTACTGCCTCAAGTTATATCTGCATTATTGTTCATGCATTTGTTAGGCTGAACAGCTCAGGAGGTTTTCTCCCTTATTTGTTTCAGTCCTGTTTCTTACTGAGATAAAATGAAGTTAAATGTAACTCCACAATTTGACATCTTAGCCCTGGTCTACACGACGAGTTTAGGTCGAATTTAGCAGCGTTAGATCGATTTAACCCTACACCCGTCCACACAATGAAGCCATTTCTGTCAACTTAATGGGCTCTTAAAATCAATTTCTGTACTTCTCCCCGACAAGAGGCTTAGGGCTGAAATCAACATCGCCAGGTCGAATTTGGGTTAGTGTGGATGCAATTTGACGGTATTGGCCTCTGGGAGCTATCCCACAGTGCTCCATTGTGACTGCTCTGGACAGCACTCTGAACTCAGATGCACTGGCCAGGTAGACAGGAAAAGCCTTTTGAATTTCATTTCCTGTTTGGCCAGCATGGCGAGCCCATCAGCAGAGGTGACCATGGAGTCCCAGAATCACAAAAGAGCTCCAGCATGGACCAAACGGGAGGTACTGGATCTGATTGCTGTATGGGGAGACGAATCCGTGCTATCAGAACTCCGTTCGAAAAGAAGAAATGCCAAAATATTTGAAAAAATCTCCAAGGACATGAAGGACAGAGGCTATAACAGGGACCTACAGCAGTGCCGAGTGAAACTTAAGGAGCTTAGGCAAGCCTACCAAAAAACCAAAGAGGCAAACGCCCGCTCGGGGTCAGAGCCCCAGACATGCCACTTCTATGATGAGCTGCATGCAATTCTAGGGGGTGTCCCTACCACTGCCCCAGCCCTGTACGTGGACTCCTGCAAGGGTGGAGTCTCACGCAACAGGGATGAGGATTTTGGGGATGAAGAAGATGAGGAGGAGGGGGAGGTTGAAGATAGCGCACAGCAAGCAAGCGGAGAAACTGTTCTCCCCGACAGCCAGGAACCGTTTATCACCCTGGATCCAATACCCTCCCAACCTGTGCTCCCAGACCTTGAAGGCGAAGAAGGCAGCTCTGGTGAGTCTACCTTTGTAAATATAATACACGGTTTAAAAGCAAGCATGTTTAATGATTAATTTGCTCTGAAGACTTGGGATGCATTTGCGGCCAGTACAGCTACTGGAAAAGTCTGTTAACGTGTCTGGGGATAGGGTGGAAATCCTCCAGGGACATCTCCATGAAGCTGTCCTGGAGGTACTCCCAAAGCTTTGCAAAAGGTTTCTGGGGAGGGCAGCCTTATTGCCTCTGCCATAGTAGGACACTTTACCACGGCAGGCCAGTAGCATGTAGTCTGGAATCACTGCATAAGAAAGCATGGCTGCGTGTGGTCCCGGCATTTGCTGGCATTCAAGCAACATCTGTTCTTTATCTCTCTGTGTTATCCTCAGGAGAGTGATGATATTCATTGTCACCTGGTTGAAACAGGGGAATTTTATTCAGGGGACATTCAGAGGTGTCCGTTCCTGCTAGGCTGTTTGCCTGTGGCTGAAAAGAAATCATCCCCGCTTAGCCACACGGTGGGGGGAAGGGGTGAAGCGATCATCCCAGAGAATTGGGTGTGCGTGTGTGTGGGGGGGTTGTGCTGCACGTTAACCCGAAAACATCAGCCCCTCCTCTTAAGTGGCCAGTGTGACTTTTTCAATTTTAATCTCCCTTTTATTCCTCCCACAGCTGCAAATGTTTCAGTGCTGTCACTAGCATCTCCGTCCCAGAGGCTAGCGCAGATAAGAAGGTGAAAAAAAACCGCACTCGCGATGAAATGTTCTCTGAGCTCATGCAGTCCACCCAAACTGAAAGAGCCCAGCAGAATGCGTGAAGGCAGACAATGGCAGAGTCCAGGAAAGCACAAAATGAACATGAGGACAGGAGGAACGTGCAAGAGGATAGATGGCTACAGCAACAGAAGAGGTGGCGGCAGCACGATGAGAGGCGGCAGGATGCAATGCTGAGGCTACTGGAGGATCAAACTGATAGGCTCTGGCATATGGTTGAGGTGCAGGAAAGATACAGACCACCACTGCAGCCCCTGTGTAATCAACTGCCCTCCTCCCCAAGTTCCATAGCCTCCTCACCCAGACGCCCAAGAATGCGGGGGGCCCCCCCCCTCTGGGCACCCAACCACTCCCCAGAGGACTGTCCAAGCAACAGAAGGCTGGCATTCAATAAGTTTTGAAGTGCAGTGTGGCCTTGTCCTTCCCTCCTCCCCTCATCCACCACCCCACCCGGTGCTTCCCTCCTCCCCCACCACTCCCGGGCTACCTTGGCAGTTATTCCCTTATTTGTGTGACAAATTAATAAAGAATGCATGAATTTGAAACAACAATGACTTTATTGCCTCTGCAAGCGGTGATCAAAGAGGGGAGGGGAGGGTGGTTGGCTTACAGGGAAGTAGAGTGAACCAAGGGAGCAGGTTTTCATCAAGGAGAAAAACAACTGTCACACCGTAGCCTGGCCAGTCATGAAACTGGTTTTCAAAGCTTCTCTGAAGCGCAGCGCGCCCTACTGTGCTCTTCTAACTGCCCTGGTGTCTGGCTGTGCATAATCAGCAGCCAGGCAATTTGCCTCAACTTCCCACCCCGCCATAAACATCTCCCTCTTACTCTCACAGAGAGAGTGTGGAGCACACAGCAAGCAGTAATAACAATGGGAATATTGGTTTCACTGAGGTCTAACCGTGTCAGTAAACTGCGCCAGCGTGCTTTTAAACGTCTGAACGCACATTCTACCACCATTCTGCACTTGCTCAGCCTGTAGTTGAACAGCTCCTGACTACTGTCCAGGGTGCCTGTGTATGGCTTCATGAGCCAGGGCATTAAGGGGTAGGCTGGGTCCCCAAGCATAACTATAGGCATTTCAACATCCCCAACGGATATTTTCTGGTCTGGAAAGTAAGTCCCTTGCTACAGCTGTTCATACAGACCAGAGTTCCTGAAGATGCAAGCATCATGTACCTTTCCCGGCCATCCCACGTTGATGCTTCCACACCACTGAAAAGTACCCCTTTCGGTTTATGTACTGGCTGCCTTGGTAGTCCAGTCCCAAGATAGGGATATGAGTTCTGTCTATCGCCCCACCACAGTTAGGGAATCCCATTGCAGCAAAGCCATCCACTATGACCTGCACATTTCCCAGAGTCACTACCCTTGACAGCAGCAGCTCAGTGATTGTGTTGGCTACTTGGATCACAGCAGCCCCCACAGTAGATTTGCCCACTCCAAATTGATTCCTGACTGACCGGTAGCTGTCTGGCGTTGCAAGCTTCCAAAGGGTTATTGCCACTCGCTTGTGAACTGTGAGGGCTGCTCTCATATTGGTATTCTTGTGCTTCAGGACAGGGGAAAGCAAGTCACAAAGTTCCATGAAAGTGCCCTTACGCATGCAAAAGTTTCGCAGCCACTGGGACTCATCCCAGACCTGCAACACTATGCGGTCCCACCAGCCTGTGCTTGTTTCACAGGCCCAGAATCGGCGTTCCATGTCATGAACTTGCCCCATTGCCACCAGGATGGCCAAATTGCCAGGGCCTGTGCTTTGAGAGAAGTCTGTGTCCATGTCCTCATCACTCTCGTCACCATGCTGCCATCGCCTCCTCACTGCTTTTGCAGGTTCTGGTTCTGCATATACTGCACGATAATGTGTGAGGTGTTTACACTGCTCATAACTGCTGCGGTGATCTGAGCGGGCTCCATGCTTGCCGTGGTATGGAGTCTGCAGGAGAGCAGAGTGGCAGCAGAAGCGGTTGTTCAATGACGATGGTTTGGAGACCTAGTGCACCGTCTGCTGCCAGGACACAACAGCTGAGCGGGCTGCACGCTTGCCATGGTATGGCGAGACAAGAGCAGCTGAGCAGAGTTGCAGCGGAAGCGGCCCTGCGAGACCACCAGGAGAGCAGAGTGGCAGCGGAAGCAGTGGCTGACGACCCACAAGGTGGATTCATGAGAGCAGGAGTCCATGAGACACAACATGGAGAAATTCGCTATGGAGACAAGAGCAGGAGAGCAGAGTGGCAGCGGAAGCGGTGGTTGGATGATGACGGTTATCAGTCCTACTGCACCATCTGCACCAAAGCAATATGGCGCTCGCATGGAAAAAAAGGCGTGAAACGATTGTCTGCCGTTGCTTTCACAGAAGGAGGGACGACTGACGACGACATGTACCCAAAACCATCTGTGACTATGTTTTTGCCCCATCAGGCATTGGGAGCTTAACCCAGAATTCCAATGGGCAGTGGAGACTGCGGGAACTGTGGGATAGCTACCCACAGTGCAACGCTCTGAAAGTCGACGCTAGCCTCGGTACTGTGGACGCACTCCGCCGACTTAATGCGCTTAGTGGGGACACACACAATCGACTGTATAAAATCGCTTTCTAAAAATCGACTTCTATAAATTTGACCTAATTTCGTAGTGTAGACATACCCATAGGGTCTGATCTACAAATGCTTATGCAAATGAGTAACCTAAAGCATGTAAGTAGTTTCCCTGACTCAATGAGCCTATTCATGAGTGTAAATTTACGCACATGTGTAAGTGTTTGAAGGATTGGGGCCATAATGCACAAGCTAAAAGGGAATATAATAAATCAAAGCTTGGCGAAATTTGATTTTTTATAATTTTGACAGATTATATCAATATTTATTTTTAAGCATTTTTTCCAATTTGTATCCATTTAGATTGGAAATTATGGGAAGTGCCTAACAATTATTTAATGACAGTAGATGTTGAGATTCAAAAAGTTAAAACTTAAAATACAAATTGTCAAAATCACATGTCAAAATATACAAAGTAAATAGACTTAAATCAAACTTCAGTAAGTTCTCAAGTAGCATTTTTCTTACTTTGCCTATATGTACATTTTGATTATTATTGATGGAATATTTTTTCATTGTGAAATCAACATTTACCAATAAAAATCTAATCCTTCCAAGACCAAATAAAACACATCCAACGGCTAAAAAAAATGACCAAGACAGAAAAAAATAAAAATTAAATTATGATCTCACTGTCCTCTCCTGTGACTTAAATCTTTGTATTGGGATGTAGGTATCACAGTGTGTTACACTACAAATATGTGAGTGGCCAATATTTTAAGGCTGGCTGAATAATAAGACCATAATTTATCAAACTTTTATTTTAGTAGCAAATTACTCTGTTATTTTCCCCTCTTACTCACCTAGTTTCTAGAACTGAGAGAATAATTTATGAATATTCTTATTTCATTACATTCTTTGAATCAAACATCCACATATACAGGGTGCTGTGTTTTTTGATTATTTGCCCAGCTCTAGATAAAGCAAATTAAATAAAAACAATTATTAGATTTTTGCTTTCCAAACAGAAAAACCCATCAGTGATTCAAACTGTAACAAACGTGCTTGAACTAACAACAAAATCATGCCAGCCTGTTTTTGGAAAGTAAAGAACAAACATTTCTAAAAATAAAGATAATGCAGGTAACAGCACTTGGCAAGTTCAAGTTTTCAAAAACCAAAACCTTCCTGTTCATGTTAGTAAATTAGAAAAATCCAGGAAAAGCATCTCTTTTTTTAAAGCTCTGTTCTGCTCTGTTTTTAATTGATACTTTCAAATTCCTTACCTACTGTATTTTCCACCCGTCTAGTTGCTTCTCTAAATGTTGGCACGCAGAAATGCATTTTGTATCCTTGGCAAATTAGGTCAGATTTCTCTGATTTTTTTATGTATTTTAAAACAGAAATTTCTGTGGTTTCATGGGAAATGATGATCTTGTAAGGGCAGAAGATGACCTTCTATTCCTCTACCAAGTTCAATTGACATTGAAAAATAGGGAACACAGGGTGAAAATTACACTACAGACGTGATGACTTAGTATGCCATACATACAGACTCCAGGAGGGAAACAGGGATAACTGCAGGAGATGAAAGTATAAAACATCATAAAACCCCACACTGCTGCCTTAAAATGTTACAGGGCTGGAGGCAGAGGACATAGCTAGACAGCGAAAGAAGACCTCATGTATCATAATCTGACACCTTGGAGAAAAGGCTAGGGATATCTTTAAACACGCTCAAATACTGTTTTCTATGCTGAGTCGTCTGTGTCTCTATTATGTGGAAAATATTTCTGGCACTGCTTGAGGGTTCTGGCTTGTTAGCAACAGAGATGCAGAACTGTGAGAGTGGGAACTGCAAAGGGGAAAGAGGGGGAGGCGCTGTGTGTTTTTAAATTATGTTAAATGATAAAGTAGGGGTTGTATTTTTTTTTCATTCTTGTCTCTCTTGCTAGTGGGCAAGGGTGAATGACAAAACCTCCAAGGGCAGCTATAAAACTGATAAGAATCATTTTCATTTCACAGCGTTGCCACCTCTCAATTTTATGCCAACTCTCTCAGCACTTGGAGTCAGGGGATTATGGGAAAAATGTCAGCTTTCTTTTTTAAAAAGAAAAAGGATGCTTCTAGCCCTTCAGGTTGTGGAGAAAGGCTTGAAAATGTGACCCCATAAGGCTCCAAAAATACCAGAAGGCCAAGCAAAAGAACCCCAAATTTATTATTTTTACAATCTCATGATTTTGGAATGCCTGGGGTGGGGGCTCCTGTTGTTCCTGCTTGGCAAAGCGCTAAGCAGGGGCATGCATTGTAGCTATTCGTGCGTGGGGTTGGGAAGGAAGGAAGAGGCAACCCCTCATCAAAAAAGAACCACAGGCTGGGGCAGAACAACAGACCAACTTTCATAACATCTGGCAGAAGCCAAGAGGACAGGGGAGGAGTAGAACAGTGGACATCACTCAACTCTACCTTAGCCCTGCAACAGCAGCTAGGAGTCAATGGAGCATCTAAATCAGTGTCTACGGAGAGTTCTCTGGCAGGAGTCCTGGCAGCAGCAGGGTTGGCCTTCTCTGCAGGGTTTTGGTTTTGGACCTTGTTGGCAGTCTTCCCCCATCTTTTGCATCAGTCCCTGGCTAATAGGAGTCTGGTAAATTTTTTCAAGTCCTGCATTAGAGGTATGCATGCCCACTGAAGGCAACAGAAAGGGCCTGATCCAAAGCTCCCAAGTCTATCTGTGTATTTTCAATTCAAGACAGTAAATCAAAGACAGCAGAGAGAAAGCAAGCTCTCATATACAGGTCTATTTAAGGGTTTAAACACTGACCAGGTTTGCCAGAACTGGATAATGGCAGCAGCCCCCAAAATCAGAACTGCATGCACACAGATTTAGAACGGTGAAAAGGCACAATCTCAAATTCTGCAGTCCTTATAACATGATGTGCTCTGCCAACATTTTTCTCCTACGCACATTAACTGTAAAGCTGCTAGAAAACTAAACCTATGCTCTTCCTCTCCTTTACACACGTGTGGAAAGATAGCTTGCTTATTTCTATGACAGTTTGTTCTTATGTACGTGAGCACAGCAGAGAATAGATGTAAAATGTATTATCATATTTCACATCATCATATAAAACAACATGCGAACAATACATAGCGGTCTGACAAACATTGTTTGGGTTTAAGATGTGATAGTAGAACTATCCACTGTATCTATCAAAAGTAGAACTGTCCACTGCACTGTTTATAATATTTTTCCCTTCTGACCTACAAGCCAATCCAACTAGACAATTGCCAATATCAGAATATTCACTTATAGAAATCAAAGGATTTATTGGGGCACTACAAGTAACAA